AGAAATCAGTAATTGATGACATATTAATCCATCACACTTTCCACGAAATCAACCATAGGAGTAAGTGAATCACATCTAAATGGAAGTCTCTTTAATATTCTTGATTCAAATCGTCTTTTGTTCCTTAATTAGTTGTTAATTGATTCCTTGCTAAGTGTTTAAATTATTATTTAAGTTTCAAGTCTTGTAAAACTAGAGAAAACCCCCCTTTTAATTATTGTTTAAATTAGTTAACATTAGTAGTAGTTTTAATTATTATTACTTTTCCTCGGTGTTTGATACCTTACTTACCTGCACTAACCTACTGTTCGATTAGGTACACTGTCTATCGTATGTTGGTTTTTGTCTAAATTAGTTAGGATTAAAACTAGTATATATATATATATATATATATATATATATATATATATATATATATATATATATATTACGTATCACCATCTCAAGAGCCGAAATTTTGAGCTCTCGTACTCTTTCTTACAAGTCTTCTAGTTACTAAGTTTTTGGTACAAACCATTAGAGGCACAAGATTTTTGGTGCTTGCTTTCTGAAGCATGTTCAAGAAGGAATTGTTGATTATTTACTACAATAATCAAAAGGTATGTTAACCCTAAAACCCTTTATGAACTTCGAAAATAGTAGAGCATTCCTAGGGTTGTTGATGTTCAATTGTTTGTTGCAATTAATAGAGAAAACTTAGATTCAATAGGTTGCATGTGAACTTAGGGTTAAGTTTTTCTATCACATAATTTTTTTTGTAACCTATAAAACCTATCAACATTTACCTGGAATAGATGTTACATAAAACCAAACCCAACCTACTTATTTCAATTGCTGGGTATTAGAACCCAATGGGTTCGGTTTCTTGGTTTATGGGGTCGGTTTTTTGGTTTCTCGGTTCAACCCATAGGTTCACGAGTTTTAGGTTTTAAGCCCATGGGTTTTGGGTTTAAACCCATTTTCCAGATGAATCAAACTCAAGTTTAAGCTCAATTGAACACATATGAAACAAACTCAGATTTAAGCACAATTAAACATGGATGGACAAAAATCAGATTTATGCTTAATTAAACATAGATGGACCAAAATCAGATTTAAGTTGAATTAAACAGAGGACAAAAATCAGATTTAAGCAATCAAATTCAGATTAACTATTTAATCTCAGATGATGTTTATAGAGGGAAACAATGTGTATGTTGAAGATGGGATGTGAAGATTAAAATCCCTAATCTTCATATCGAGTGTGAATTTCAAATTAATTAAAAAGATCCATTGGTTTTATTCATAAAACCGATTTACAACTTACATGAAGCTATGATTACTCAATAGATCTCGATAATTAGGATGAAAAAGGAACAAGCATAAACATTGCAACATCCCAAAAATACAGTCCAAAAATTGTTTTTAATTATTAATAAAACCATAGTTATCCAAAACACATGTCATAATATCTCAAACATCACATCAATGTATATCAAATTATCAGAGTATAAACATCCCAAGCTGAACAAATGGTGTGTGCACTGCAGTCATCCCGAGCTCTTCCCTTTGCTACCGGAAGTACCTTAAACCAAAACTGAAAACTGTAAGCACGAAGCTTAGTGAGTCTCCCTAAACTACCACATACCATACACATAACATGCAACTAGGAGATACGGGCCCCGCCCACTCTCATGGAGATTCGGGCGCCGCCCACAATCCGCTATCTAGGAGATTCGGGCCCCGCCCACACTCTGATGTCTAGGAGATTCGGGCCCCGCCCACACTCCACTGTCTAGGAGATTCGGGCCCCGCCCACACTCCGCTGTCTAACATGCATACAATTATCACACATACAACAAGTATATCTATTCCTATCAAGCAGTCACATATCTATACTCAAATATACTATGAGATTCGGGTCCCGCCTATACTCGGCCACTATGAGATTCGGGCACCGCCCACACTCAACTACTGACGTATCACATTTACGGTCCGGCCTTGGTGCCGTAGACACGTTCCTACTGAAGGAAACTCACCTTGCAAGGCTGACTGCTGAAATCTCGAGTCAGGAATCTCTGATGGCTGCTGCCACGACTCCCCGACTATCATTATCACAATAACACTTAGTCAAAACCTGATAATTTTCCTTAGGGTAAAATGACCATTTTACCCCTGGTCAAAGTCAAAGCTTTGGTCAAAGTCAACCTTTTGGTTGACCCAACTCGTCGAGTTGCTCCATCAATTTGTCGAGTCCTAGAACCTGAAATCGCGATCTTACCGAATCAACCGAATAAACCCTCTATGGACTCGCTGAGTTCCTCTGTCTGGTTCAACCATCTCAATGGATTAAGCTCCCACCCTTCAGATCTAAGCTCCATACTTCATCTACACACTGGGAATACACTTTTAAGGGTAAAGTTTCCAACTTTACCCGTTCTTAGTCCTTCTTAATGGGTTTAGCTCAAACCCTAACTCTCTAGAACATAGATCTTGGTCTACAAGCCATAATACCCTAAACCAAAGCACACTATACTAGATTTAGGCTTTGAACATCGGTTGGACACGTAAAATTCCTAGCTTTCCTTCCAAGCATGGCCTCTTAGGGCTAAAAGGCCATATTAACGCTTATAAGCTTGCATGGGGCTTCCATGGTCATAAATTTTGCACCTTTATGCCATGGAACCCCTCCTAGATCCCAGATCTGAGATATAAGTCACTTGGGACGTCCAAATCCCAAATACCAAGGTTCTTGCACCAAAACCCTCATAAAATGGAAGTAAATAGATCTAAGGAATGAATGATCAAGTTAGAGAGTTGATTACCAGAAAGTAATGAGGATAGAAGGAAATCCCTGGATCTACTATCTTCTCCTTGAACCTTCTAGCTCCTTCTTCTTCTTCTAGCTTCAAAAACACACCAAAACACTCAAGAATGGCTCACAACTCACAAGACACTCTAGGGTTTCGTGGATTAGGGTTTAGGACTTGGAAGCTGGAAATGAGGCCAAGAGGTGGGGATTAAGATGCTTAAATAGGGTGCAAAACCCTGAAATTGGGGTTTCACTCTGACATACCTACTCACCGAGTCGATGGCTCTTGACTCGTCGAGTAGATGGCTGAAATCCCGCGTCCAAGACTCAATTCTACTCGACGAGTCTGGGGCTTCCAAATCGTCGAGTAACTCTATAAAAATGAATAATTTGTAAATAAATGTGTACCCGAAACCAAGCGTTACAAACATACTCAAACTTTACTTATTCATCAGAGACGGTTTGAAATCGAGCAACTGCTTCAAATGCATCTATGCTTTAACCACCACCTCTGCATCGAACACTTTCGAAGCACCAGACATGGAGAATGTTGTGATTTTCAAGTAGTACTTGATCCCTGGAACTACCTTCGTCTCTGCCTCCACCACCTGTGAAAATTTCAGAGATGTGACGCCACCTTACCGACTTCCTTTCTACCGATTGTACTCCTTCATTGAATACCTCCCGAGTTCCTAAACTTTTTTATTCATCTTCACATGTTTACCTTCTTCCTTCCTCCCAAAATTAGAGATGGAGGGTTGGTGATTGTCGAATCACTAGAATGAGATGGAGATTGTAAAAAATTGGAAGGATTTAGAGACAGAGACTGTTCTAACTATCACAAAGAAAAGACGATTTAGGGTTTGGGAGATAACGGGCATAAATTATTTTTTATGTTATATATCAATAATAAGTATTAAAAAAACATAACTAAATATATTGGGTCGGTTTCTTTATTACCCAAACCGAAACCGAAACCGAAATCGATTTTTCAGTTTTTTATTTCAGAACCCAAAATCGATGGTTTTTGTTTGGTTTCAGTTTTTCGGTTTTTTGGTTTTCGGATTCGAGTTTGCTCACCCATAGCGATAAGAAACACGTGTGGACCGAAGATACACTGAATTGCACACAAGTCACTACATTTCAGAAAGTTATTACAAAAATCACTATATTTTTGTTTTTTTTTTTCAATTTCGACACCTATAATATTATGTTGCCAAAAGTGTCACGTCAACATGCAATGTCAGCATGCCACGTCAACAGACAATCGCCAACCGAGTTAAGCGGTTAAGTGGTCAGAATTGTAATAAATTGTAAACGGAGTGTCAAACTGAGACAAAAATAATACACTGTTAAAATCGAATTTTCGTATGAACTTAGCAAATTTTGTGAGAAATTTACCCAAAACTAAAAGCTATTAAAAATACTTAACAATTCATTGTCAAACATACTCCGAAACTACTTATTTTTTCTGCAATTTTCATTAAAAATAATCTAAGCCTAATACTATAATAAAATACAATGATTTGATCGACTCCCCGTTTCGTGCCTTCTAAATCACACTGAAGAAAGAAAATCCAACATACTATGATATACCATGTTTTAAAAACTAGGTTCATCAAACCGGCCGGTTTAACCGGTCCCGAATCCGGTTCTTAGAGGCAAAAAAACCGTTTGTTATGTGAACCGGTAAAAACCAGTCTGGTCGAACCGGTAAAAACCAGTCCGGTCGAACCGGTAAAAACAAAAATTTTAAAAATTATATATTTTTTCTTTTTTGTTTTCTATTTTTATATAACTGAAATTAATAATAATGTAATTATGATATATTCTGTATTTTTTCGATTTTTGACCGGTTGGACCAGTTGAATCATGAATCATCAAACAGGTAAAACAGTCGGTTCGGTCTCTGATTCGGTTTTCAAAATCACGATGATATATCATTTTGTTACATTTTATTCGATACAATAATAGATTTAAATTAAAGCTAAAAGATAGGATGATAGGAAAACTCATATATTAGACTTTTGCACCAAATCATGTAGTGGCTTTTAAGTTTGTCAAACTCAGTTGTCCTAAACGTAAAGACGCTACAACCCATAACTATTATACACATAAAATACCCTAAGCTTTCTTTCTAATTAAAGAAACCCATTACCTAAACTTATTTATAGAAAACTCTCTAACGCATCTATTTCAATTCCTTTGTGTGCAACTTCAAATATATTGCTTTCTCCTATCTATTTTTATTAAACACGAGGTAAGATTTGTGTATATCCGTCGATAAAGAAACAAACGTGTTTAATTTTACATTTAAATGATTTCTTATCGATCTATATTCTAGGTGATCAACGTGACTTGGATTTATGTCGCCTATCGGCGTGCAGTTACTAATTGAAGATCACCATGTAAATTTTTCTTTGTTATCCTAAAACATTTCTAAATAATCTTCCCTAATAAATAAAAATAATTTTGCCACTTGTTATCCTCTTATGTATTATATCATATATCATTTTGTGGTAAATTTAGCTTAAATTATATCCATGTGTCATTTTGTGGTTTTTTTTCCATTATATTAAATTTCACATAATACTTAAATGTAATAAATGTAATAATAAATGTATATCCAATTAATTAATAAAACTTTTATTATAATTTCTAAATTTCTAAATTGAATCCAATTATTTTAGTTGTTTATTTATTTAAATTATTAGTTTAAATTTAAAAGATAAATAAACACTTTAATTTTAATAATTAATATTTTATTTTATTTTTCTTATAAATTTAAATTTTCTAAATTGTTAGATCTTCATATTTGTTTATTTTTTTTTAAATAAACTTATATAATACATGGATGTCAAACCTAGTATATTATATATAACTCGTAAAGAAATAAGTATGTATTTCTTATACTACAGTTTAATTTCCACAGTATTATTACGGCGTCCAATATTTTATAGTGTTGATTTGTCATATATCCTCTCAAACTAATGTTCAAGCTGTCGGTTTTCTAATTTATAGCTAGTATAAAGCATAGAAACGTAGCTTGTTAAATAAAAAAGTTTTATTTTTTGTTTTTTTTTATTTTTATCTTTTTTGAATAAAAATTTTCAGGTGGTGATTGATAATGGCATAGTCCAAGTAACAATATCGAATCCTGAGGGTATTGTCACTGGCATACGATACAATGGACTTGATAATGTGCTTGAGATTCTTAACAATGAAAGCGATCGAGGGTTAGTTGCATGCAATATATACTAACACTAATCAAACCATATGAAATTATCACTTTTAGTGATTTGTTTAATTTTCGGTAGATGAATAATACAAGCTAAATTTAATCTTAATAATTTTACTAAAAATACAGGTATTGGGACGTCGTGTGGAGTGCTTTAGATGGCTCGGGCAAAACCGGATTATTTGAAGTGTATGTTCTTATTATTCATGTATGAAATATATATGATAAATAAAAAGTACGTTAACGATGAAAAATAAAGGGTTTTGACATTAAAGCTCTTAAGTTTGTCAATTTTATACGGATTTACTCCAAAATACGATTTCTTGTTCATCAATGCCTAATAGTTAGATGCTTTTTTTTTTATCATATACCACATTTATTAGGCAACGGACCTGATAGACGGTTACCCATTGCTTGTTACAAGCCAACATGGCATGTTGCTGATTACTAGGATGCCATAAATAATTACCCCCTAAATAAATGCTTCTCTTCTATAACTTTCCCATACCAAAACCCAAAAGTGAGCATAGTTGCTTCTTGGGTCCCTCTTATGCATGGCTACTTCAAAAACATGAGGGAGGATGTGTAAATTGCAATACTAAAACTTAAGGAGCTTTCCCTTTTTCTCGTAAGCTCTATATATCTTTCCTTCTTTCTCCTATATAGGCGATTTATGTTTTCATATGCTTTTGAGATTGAGTAACATATATAGATACAAGAGAGATCGATTCACTAGGAGCAAGAATCGATTTATATTGAGCCTTACCTAAGATCGATTTCAAAAGAGGCCCCCTGTATATGTGATTGATTCTCTCCATGTGATCTTGATGTCATCTTTTGAATCGAAACACATGTCATAGGGCAAGCTTCTATGGTAACCGACTATGAGGTCATTCACCTGATAAATGGAATGTATGACAAGAACTGTCTAACTATTAGGCATTAATGAACAAGAGATTGTAATTATGACAAATTCATATAAACTTGACAAACGTAAGGGATTTTGTGTCAAAAACCCAAAAATAAATACAAAAACTTTCATATATAATTTTATAATATCTAAAAGACGAGAAGAATTATTAGAACATGCATTAATTAAAACTCAATCGTATTTTTTATTTATATATAAGGTTTTATATTAACTCTTTAAAAGAGTTGTTTTAAAAGATGGTAGACTTTAATATATATAAACACATAAGGGATACTATTGCACCATTAACAATTTTTGTTAGCTTTGATGGTTATAAATTAGTTGTTTTTACCTTTTTTTCTCTTTAGAATCCTAATGGTTTATATATATATATATATATATATATATATATATATATATATATATATATATATATATATATATATATATATATATATATATATATATATAAAGTTATTACGAGAACCAAAAGATTTTGCTAGAACTCGAGAAATCCTAACCCACTTATCACTTTTCAAAACCAAGACCACCATTGAATTTCTAGAGCTGCATCTAAAAGAAATCCATGGTAAAAAAAGAGATTTGACGATTTTTTTGAAATGTACATTTATGCACATTTGAATGTTTATATATGTGCATATATGCACATTTAGTAGTTTTTTTTTTTCAAAATTTTTCAAAACCAACACAACAATAAGACTCTAATACCAACGTTTAAGAGAATCGCAACTTGAAAATGTCAGAAAACGAAGAAAACATAAATGTGCATGCATGCACATTTAGATTTACATATATTCACATTTCACAGAAAAAGTTCGTTAAATCTTTTTTTGGATGAATTTCTCTTAGACACAGCTCTAGGAGTCCAATGGTGGTTTTGATTTTGAAAAATAATGAGCGAATTAGGAGTTCTCGTGTTTTCACAAATCTTTTGATTATCAAAATAATATATATATATATATATATATATATATATATATATATATATATATATATATATATATATATATATATATATATATATATATATATTATTAAATAAACAAGCCAAAGATGTTTTTTTTTCTGCAGGATTAAAGCGACAAGTTTCAAGGTTATTGCTGAAAGTGAGCAACTAGTTGAGATATCTTTTTCTAGGCCATGGGATCCTTCCTTAAAAGGAAAGTTGGTTCCTTTAAACATAGACAAAAGGTTCGTTAATTAGCTTTTTTGTGTATTTCAATTCCTTGAAAAAATGGAAAATTTTAATGTAATTGTTTGAAATCAGACTTCTGTACCTCTAATAATGTATGTATTTGCACTGTTTGGTGACTGAGTGATTAATTAGATTCATTTTGGTTCGTGGTTGCTCCGGTTTCTACACTTATGCCATCTATGAACACTTGGGTTCACAAGAATGGCAAGCTTTCAGTCTTGCTGAAACACGGGTTGCATTCAAGCTCAGAAAAGACAAGTATATATATTTAATATTTCTTTAGCTTCTAATTCATTAATTAACGATTAAAACTATTTGTTGATATTTAACCAATATAAGTAGTTGTTAATTATAGGTTTCATTACATGGCGGTGTCTGATGATCGAAGAAGATACATGCCATTGCCAGATGATAGATCACCGGGAAGAGGCCAACCCCTTGCATATCCTGAAGCCGTTTTACTAGTTGATCCGGTAGAACCTGAGTTCAAAGGAGAGGTATATATATAATTATATATAATCATATAAGTAGTTTGAGTAACTAGATGCACAAGCTAGAAGAATAACGAGCATGTTTTCTTTAGTTAAAGCTTTGTTATTAATATAATTCTTGTTGTAGGTGGATGATAAATACCAATATACTTGCGAGAACAGAAATCTTATGGTACATGGTTGGATATCGAATGACCCTCCGATAGGTTTTTGGCAAATTACACCGAGTGATGAGTTTCGAACAGGTGGACCCCTCAAACAGAACCTATGTTCTCATGTGGGGCCCACTTGTTTAGCCGTAAGTATAGTATTTACTTGGCCTCTTTTATTATATTGCATGCATGTCGGTCGATCCATACTATTGCTTACAATTATCAAAGTCACAGTTTAAAACTGAGTTTAATAGTACGTACCTTGATCTAATTGAAAATTTAACTAACTAGGTTTTCGTTGGAGCTCATTATGCTGGGGATGATTTGGTCCCGAAGTTTGGTCAAGGAGAGGCATGGAAGAAAGTATTCGGACCGGTTTTTATTTATTTGAACTCGGTCATGGATGGAGAAGACCCACTTACTCTTTGGGATGATGCAAAAACACAAGTAATTAGAGATGACAAAATTAAATTAGAAATAATGTTAACACTACTCTTAAATAATATTCCTTCGACGTATTTACTTGTTGTATCGAGCAGATGATGATCGAGGTGAAGAGTTGGCCTTATAGTTTTCCGGCATCCGAGGATTTCCCAAAATCAAATCAACGAGGCAACATTTGTGGGAAGTTACTAGTTCGCGATAGGTAAATTAATACCGTAGAGTATAGACTCATAATAAACCCAAGACGATCTTAATTAAGTAGTCCACTTACATTTAAACAAAGTTTTCTGAGCTAATGATCATCTATAGCACATATTATTATTTATTTTAGATTCGTTCAAGACAATGACATGCCAACAAACGGTGCATATGTCGGGCTAGCTCAACCGGGTGAAGTTGGATCATGGCAAAGAGAATGCAAGGTACTTATAATATTTAATTAAGTTAACTTTAAAGCTAACCAGGTCAAACATACGATTTGACTTCATAATAGTGGATAAGTGATTATTGATCAAACAAGATTATTGTACTAATAAGCAGGATTATCAATTTTGGACAAAAACGGATGAGAATGGAGTTTTTTCTATAACCAATATCAGAACTGGAAACTATAATATATACGCTTGGGTCCCTGGATTTATAGGCGATTACCGAAACGACGATGCTATCACAATCACTGCAGGTCGCCTACCTAGCTATATATAATTAATTAATTAAAACCACAAATTATCTCAAATTAATTGTTAATTCAACTTTTTTTGAACTTTGGAATATTCAAAATCAAATACTATAGGTTGTGACATCAATGTGGGTACTCTTGTTTACGAGCCTCCACGGAGTGGTCCTACATTGTGGGACATAGGGATCCCAGATCGATCTGCTGCTGAATTCTTTGTCCCAGATCCTAACCCGCAATACGTCAACAAGCTGTTTCTAGATCAACCACAAAAGTTCGTTAATTAATTCATTCCTTTAAACATGTTAGCTAATTCTTTTTTCATAAGATTAATTAGATACCAAGACAAAAATCATAACTCCATCCGTCCCAAAATTAATGTCCACAGACAAAAAACAAACAGATTAAGAAAACATTAATTATCACTAACTTTATACAATAAAATGACAGTTTTGTCATTACTTTGCATTTAATGTTTCATTAAATGTTTAGTTGGTTACATAATAATGAAGGGTATTTTGGTAAAATGTTATTTATTTTTAGAAGTGGACTATTATTTTGGAACAAACCAAAAAGAAAAATATACTATAATTTTGGGAGAGAGGGAGTAATACATATATATATATATATATATATATATATATATATATATATATATATATATATATATATATATTGTTAGCAATTTTAGGCAATATGGGTTATGGGAACAGTATGGAGAGCTATACCCTGATGGGGACTTGATTTTTACAATTGGAGATAGTGACTATAGCAAAGATTGGTTTTATGCTCAAGTTCCAAGGTACAACAAGCTGTCTTTAACTATAAGGAATTTATCCACTTAATTTGTTGGTTTTACATATATTACATAAGCAATATTTAAAGATGGTGACTCTTTGAATCAATGTCTTCGATCTATTTGTAGGAGAAGAAAAGACAAGTCATATGAAGGAACGACATGGCAGATCAAGTTCAAGCTAGAAAACATCCAACAAACGGCTACTTACACCCTAAGAATAGCATTGGCTGGTGCATCTTTAGCAGAACTACAGGTTAGTTGGTCTAAATAAATTAAACTTGGAATTTCCTCTCTCTCTCTCTCTCTCTCTATATATATATATATATATATATATATATATATATATATATATATATATATATATATATATATATATATATATATATATGTAAAAATGGAAATAATTTGCGAAAACACGAAAACAATGAAAAACCTATAAGATTGTGTCACCTCAACCTTATATTTTGGACAAGAATCCATCCAAACTTTGAATTACGTAATAATAACCGATGATACATGATAAATTGTTTCATATTAGCAAAACATGTTTTTTTAACATTTTTATTATGAAAACTGAAATTTAAAAGTAGTTCAAGACGTGGAAAAAAAACGGTTGTTAAAACTACATTTAAATCTATATTATCATAACAACCTCCAATAAACTTATTATTTTTAATTCATTGCTAATAAATTTAATTTCTAAAGTGCATGTGTTTGATTTTTATAAGATAAAATTTGTTTTCGCATTTTCACAAAATATTTATGTTTTCGCATGAACCTACTTATGTGTGTGTGTGTATATATATATATATATATATATATATATATATATATATATATATATATATATATATATATATATATAGGTTTAGCTTCTATGGAAAATAAAAAACCCAAAAAATCATAAAAATGCATAAAAAAATACTTAGAGATCACAAATCTTCTTTTTGACTTTATAGGTACAAAATTCGCAACTTTATTAACAAAATCGCTGAAATTTTTTTGAAAAAAAAGTTTTGATTTTTTAATTATTTTTCAACGATTTTATTAAAAAAGCTGCGATTTTTGTAAATATAAAGTAAAAAAAAAAAGATTTGTGATCTCTAAGTATTTTTTTTATGCATTTTTATGATTTTTTGGGTTTTTTTAGGGTTTTTTTGTTTTCCAAATAACCCTTCCATATATATATATATATATATATATATATATATATATATATATATATATATATATATATATATATGTTGAGGTTTACTAGAGAATCATTATTAACAAGGAACCAATCGTGATCGTCGAAATTTAAAGCGATAAACGGCCAAGGAAATGAATGTACATTTGTACATTGGACGCACATAAATCGGTTCATACCATAAAACCCATATCTTTACCAAAAAACTCATCTTTTTTTTTCGTTAAATTTTTTTTAAGCCACGTCTTTTATCCGAAAAAAAAAACCGAATATACCGTTGTTTATGAATTTTCGTCCTCTTTCCATAGAGATCCATGTTGATATATAAAAAAACAAACTTTTTTTTGTGAAAATAACCCACTTCGTTTTGCTGTTTTTTCAATATTTAAATTTATTTTTAACCAAAAATATTAATTATACTAAAATTTTCATTTTTTTCTCTCTAATAATTAACATCAACATCGATTAAAAAAAACTTGGATCAGTTCAGATTCACATTATAAATCTGCATTGTAAATATTTCAATTTAACATTCACAATATGAATCTGACTTATTATTATTCACATTGTGAATCTGCTGAATCTGAGCAATTCACAATTTGAATATGAGCTGATTCAGAATATGAATCTATATTGAAATTTCGTTTTTTTATATCAATATGAATCTATGTTTAAAGTGTAGAAAAAATATGAATTTTGATATATTTATTAAATTTATTCGATAAAAAATAGGCCTTAACTTTTCAAAAAACAAAGAAAGGAAATGAGTTTTTTTTTGAAAAAAAAAAATCATTTTTTGTATATCAATATGGATCTATATGGAAAGAGGACGAACAATCATGAACAATGTTATATTCGGTTTTTTTTTTGATAAAAAACACAACCTAAAAAAATTAAACGAAAAAAAAAGTGAATTTTGTTATAATCCGGTGGATGTGCGTCCATTGTAAAATTCTACAACACTTTCTTTTAACGTTGATTGCATTAAATTCCGACGTTTTAGATTGGTTCTTTGGTTTCTTGATTAATAATGATTCTCTATTGAACTTTTCTATATATATATATATATATATATATATATATATATATATATATATATATATATATATATATATATATATATATATAGACACACACACACATCGTTGTTGATATATAGATAAGGACACACGCTAGCTAGCTAATTAATGAGAATTTTCTACTTTATACCTATTTATAGGTTCGGGTAAATGATCGAAACAAAGTGCGTCCTTTGTTCACAACAGGGCTAATAGGACGAGATAATGCAATCCCAAGACACGGGATTCACGGGCTATATTGGCTGTATACAGTAGAAGTTCTGGGTTCTTTACTGGTTAAAGAAGAAAAGGGAGATATCATTTTTTACTTCACACAACCACGCTCCCAATCTCCATTCCAAGCTATCATGTACGATTATATTCGTTTAGAAGGACCTAAATCTGACGTTCCGAATTAAGAAGGCTCAATGATATTGCTATCGAATATACTCGTATACTTACGGAAAATATAAATAAATTTCTTGTTTGTTTTTTAGATTGTCGCTTATGAAAAGAAGAAATATTTTATAGACTAGTGCAACGTTGTGTATTACCTGATTGGTATGTAACATTTCATATACAATATAATTATATTATATTTTAAGTTATATATTATCCATTTACAAAATTCATTTAATATATGGATGATTTCTTTCTCCAAGAGTCCAAGTTGGGTTTCATTCGTTGAGATACGATACTATTGGGGCTTATCTCTATCCAATTTTTTAAAACTCAGATTTCCTTATTCTATTCTTTTACTTCGTTGGGGGTATGAACATTTTGAATAGTAAAAAAAGATTTGCTTTCAAGTTTGTTATCAAATTTGTCATGATATCAAAGCAAACCTAGTAACTTAGCCCCACCATTCTAATCGGTAATCGAAGGTGCCGAGTCGAACAACCAGAGAAAAATATGCCATGAACATGACATCTCCACATTTCCTTATTACAACTAATTGCCCCGACCAATTTTTTTGGAGGAAAACCTATTTCGTGATGGAAATTACAACAATTGGAAAAACGAGATGACGAATGCATTACTCGCCAAGAACAAAATCGGTTTTATGGACAATAATATTCTCATGACGAAGGAAGATTCTGTGGATATGATGAACTAGAAAAGGTGCAATGTGATATCCTCTAATTTTCAGAACCAATTAAAACTTTTCTTTACGCTTCTTAAATTATATTATCATTGATGCAAAAATTCCCAGTACATTTGAAACATTTTTAGTACAAGTGATTGTCTCAATAAAATCATAAGGTTGTCATAATCGTTACAGAAACATAGGTTCAGCGTAAAAACCTAATGGTCCTAAACTCTATTGCATATTGTGTCTTGATCACTCAACATTATAATCAAGTTCTGGTAGCTTAAGCCTTGATACCTATGATGCATATAAACTGAGCGGGTCAGGTTTGGAAACATGGTGAGATGCATAGGGATTTTAATCCCACAATATTGGTATGATCATATTCCTTACTTATCTGGTCTGCAAAATCAACTGTTACTATACAGCATCCATATGAGCTTACATTCCCACATATCCATTCCTATTGATCCTCACAGATTATCTGGGAGAAATTATCTCCCCTGATAAACAGTTAAAATGCTTGACTACTCAGCCTGGGGCTTCGTTGGCTGGCGCAGTCATAAAGGAATATGGGTCATTAGAGTATTTGATGAATATGGTATCCCATTTCATATGCATCTGTGAGTAATGAGCTCATGTCACCAACGTAATTCACAAGTCTATCTATAATGATCAAGTGTTGTCACTTACTCTTGAAGGTGATCAGACGTACCGTTACAATTGCGTGATCTGAATCCACCATCTATGGTCATCCAAGGGGAATACTATAGCATACTCCCATACGGCGCTACCGTACATCGACACCTGAAAGTGTCACGAAACATAACTTTACTCTCCATTCCTATCTTACACACATTCTCCTGATGAGACTACCCAATATAAAACTTAATTGAATTAGGTATCTTCCATAAGTCTAAGTTGTTCCTAGACTAAATTACAATGCTTGTAACCAACTTCTAATACCAACTCTATTCTTGGGTGAAACTAACCTATCTTTAGTGTGTGTGTGTATGTATATATATATATATATATATATATATATATATATATATATGTGTGTGTGTGTGTGTCTGTGTGTATATATATATATATATATATATATATATATATATATTCCATATAGAGTATTAGGTATTATTATTCGTTTGTCTTTTCAACAATGCTACTTATAATATTATTATATAGTATTATCTATTTATCCTAACATAAATAGAACCATATCTAATTCACACACACACACACACACACACATATATATATATATATACACACACACACACACACATATATATATATATATATATATATATATATATATATCTATGTTAAGATATAATCCAGGTAATAAACATATAATTCACATATGACTTCCAGTAAATATTTAATTGTTTAATTAATACTTGTATTAAATCATGTTCATGAAAGGGACTATGCACTCACTTGATAAATTGGGTGGCTGAGGATTTCAACAGCGCTTCGTTGTGCACTTCCAAAGAAACCTTGACCTATAAAGCACTAAGTGTTAGTCTAGTTTCATAACTTTGACGACTATTTAATGATAGTCTAGATTTCCCAATAATCCAAATGTCTACAGCAAGATCTATCATGTAAGGAATAACCAGGTATGATTATATCAAATGTAGGTTCCGTTTGGTATACAAAGTATAATGTTTGGAAATCTCACTTTAAACACCTCACTAAATCCAGCCTAGACATCACTCCCGTAAGTACATCAATCAGTACAATGAATTGGAATAACTAATAAATCTTAATTATAGGTTAATAATAATGACTATGACTATAATTAAAAGTTACACTTAAATAAAATAAGTGTAGCTTAACTTACAGAGTGATTTAGCGAAAATCGGGGATTTATGCGAGCATAGCTCTGATCCGGGAGCTTCTATTCACTAACTATCTGACAGTGCAGGGCTTCGCCGAAAGGGCAGGAAACTCGGTACTAAAAGGGACTAAAATCTAGAAGGAGTTACAGAGAAAATCTAGGAGAATGGTGTGAGGAAATAGCTGATTTTCGGAAGTTTATATAGGCTTGAAAAGGGTGCACACCGCGCGTCTGGTCGGACATTATCACACCCCCGGTCGAGGCAGCGGAACATGTCGGGCTGTGCGACTAAGTTCATGGATCACAGGTAAATTGAATATATAGCACAAGTACAACAATAAACAAAATGGCATTTGTATTCCCTCTTTGAGTTTGAATATAGGGTTCTTACAGATATTAATAATAGTACATGAATTTCCTTAACAGGTAGGCAAACATAACAAAAACTAGTAAATTAAATTGCCTGCAATCTATGATTTTCCATTGTATGAATGCTTGAAATTATTGATTCCCTGAGAATACATGTAGTTTGAGAGTCAGCACAAGGTTGGTGAGAGTTACATGTTTTTTTGCTAACAACAGTAAGATACTTTTAAAAAGTCTAAAAATTATTGCATTTTTAAGTATAACCATACTTAAAACAATGTTTGTAAAAATCCTTTGAATAAGTTTTGGAAACCAAATTGTGTCTTTGCATTGTTGGGATTATTTTGTGTTGTGTCAATAATTATATTGTATTGTTTTATTTAATCTTTTGTTACGGGCTGGGCCTGCCCACCTGATATTAATGTGCTAGGGTTAGAGTATAAATAGTGCATGCATGCACCGTGTTTTGGAAATGATATTGTAACCCTACTTTGCCTTTACAGTAGCAGTTCTTAGTCGAGATCTTCTAAGGAAGTGATTTTTAATCATTCAAGACAACTTTGATCTTCATACTTTGTGTTTGATTCTTCTACCTGTTTTGAATCTATCGATCTTATAGTTTTAAACTTAACAATTGGTATTAGAGTATGAGACTGTGCAAACTATACGCATCTCTTATGTTAAAGAGCTATTAGGGTTTCCGCTTTTATTGGATCTATTCTTTTCCATCTTCATCGTTTTTAAAGACTGTTGATTTTGGATCTAGATCTTGATTCTACCCTAAACTCGATTTCAGTTTTACACAGCTGGTTCATTACATGTTTTTATTGAATCGACATCATGCATTCAGAAGATTCTCATACTCTTTCATTCAACCTATCTAGCAGTATTGGTTCTACAACAAGAATCCTGATTCTTTTTCCGCATGAATATGAGGTGTGGGCGCTACACTTCGAGGATTACGTTCTAGGGCTTGAAGATAATGGTTCCCCGATATGGGAAGCCATGACTGTTCAGACGTTTGTTCATACTGGTACAAGAAGAGTTATTAAAACTCAAGCCGATTATAACAAACTTCTTCTCGAAGTTAAAGATGTCCCACAGCACGAAAAAGACAAGCTAATTAGTAATGTAAGGCGATGAGGATAATCAGATTCGCTTTGCCTCCCGACACCTTTCGTCTAGTAAGTGCCTATGAGACAACAAAAGAGATATGTGACAGGCTAAAAGAACTCTATTCTAGTGATGCTGATCTTGAGAATTCCATTCAGACGCTGCTTCTATCGGAGTTCGAAGCCTTTATCCAGAAGCTTGCGGAGAAACTTGACCAAACGTTCAACCGACACAATCATCTTTTAAGCAGGATGGTGAAATATAAGATTGGACGCGAACTGATTGAACAAAATATCACATTCATGAACTGTTTGAAGCCAAAATGGAAAGCTGTGGTGTCAACGGTTAAAGCGCATGAGCAGTTTAAAACCTACTCTTTAGCGAAGTTTGTGGGAATTCTTAGGTCTCACGAGGACGAAGTTACAAAAGAAGCGAAGATTATTTCTAGGATGGGTTATTTCGCAATAGTCTCAAAGAACAAGCAGGTTGTAGAAGAAGAAGGTTCGAAGACGGACCTCTCAGATTGTGAACTCTCAAAGGAGGAATATGCACTGATGGTGTCAAACCCTAGGAAGTTCGCCAAAAACAACTTTGGACGCAACAAAAATAGAAACTGGCAAGGAAGTTACAGCTCCGAGAAGATGAAAGGTGAAAGTGTCAACAACTCTCAAAAGGAAGAAGTGAAGAAAGATAGCAAGCTGGTGGGAGATTCTGGATATGACTGTAATTACTGTCATGGAAAGAATCATTTGGCAAAAGAGTGTATGTTGAAAAGGCTCAATGAGAATAAGGATGAAGGAGAAGAAAAAGACGAAGCCTACTATCTTCAGAAGATAGATGAGCTTTAGAAAAAGAAGAATGCTGATAACGCTAAGCCTGCTTTGTTTGTGCAGGAAGATGATGATGAATTTGGAAGAGTTGAAGTCTAGTCGACTGACTCGGAGGATGACGAGGTTCGCAGACCTACTCATGACAAGTGCTTCGTTGCTAAGGATGAAAGTTTTGGAGTACGAGGGAAAATGCTTCATGGTCAGTAATGATGTCTCGGAGCAAAGGGGATATACTTTGGACAATTGCTTTGCTGCGAAACCAGTCACATAACAGATCAACGAATGTGAGAAAATGAT